CGTCCCTGGGCGCCGTCCCACCTGAAGCTCTGGCCGTCCCCGTCCCCTGGCAGGTGGGGGAGATCCTGAGCTCCGCAGACCCCTCGGCCAAGGCCCGGCTGACCATCAGCTGCCCCGACTTCGGGGAGTGGAGGGACTCGGGCCTGGACCATCACAACCTCCAGGACTTCATCGAGCTGCGCTACAACCCGGGCTGCGTCCTGCCGGAGATGGAGGGGCTGGAGGAGTTCATGGAGTACCTCTCGGAGTCGCTGGAGCCCCAGTCCCCCTTCGACCTCCTCGAGCCCCCCACCATGGTCGGCTTCCTCAAGCTCTCCAAGCCCGGCTGCTATATCTTCCCGGGCGGGTTTTTTTCAGCGTTCTTTGCCGTCACCGGCTTCAACGTCCTGGTGAACGGTGGCTCCAACCCCAAGTCGTCCTTCTGGAAGCTGGTCCGGCACCTGGACCGCGTTGACTCCATCCTGGTGACGCACGTGGGCACGGACAGCCTGCCCGGCGTCAACAGCCTGCTGCAGCGGAAGCTGGCCGAGCTGGAGGAGGATCCGTCCCAGGCCTCGCAGGGCAACGGGGACTGGGCCAAGAACCTCATCTCCCCGGAGCTGGGCGTCGTCTTCCTCAACGCCTCCGAGAAGCTGAAGGACATCGAGGGCAACTCGCGGGTGCTGAAGAGCTGAGACGACACCCCGCACAACCTGGACAATCGGGGCATCCGGCCCAACCGGCTGGCCCGGGACAGCGGGCCCCGCGCGGAGCCCACCGTCCTCTTCCAGAAGATGGGAGTGGGCCGGTTGGACATGTACATCCTGAACCCCGTCAAGGGCACCAAGGAGCTGGAGTTTCTCCTGCAGCAGTGGTCGGGCAACAGCTACCCCAAGGAGCAGGACTTGCCCCTGCAGTGCCTGACCTCCGTCTGCGCCCTGCTCGTCTGGCACCCTGTCAGCCCCTCCGAGAAGATCATCCGGGTCCTCTTCCCTGGCTGTACTCCCCAGGGCCGCATCCTGGAGGGGCTGGAGAAGGTGAAGCACCTGGAGTTCCTCAAGCACCCCGTGGTCACCAAGAACGACTTGAAAGGGCTGTCGGTGCCCCAGCCCGAGAAGCCGCTCAAGCAGAAGAGGGCAGAGAGCAAGGAGAGCCTGAAGTCGGCTTCCAAGCTCAGCTTGGTGGACAGCGGGGCACCGGCGCCAAAGGAGAAGGCTCCATCGAAGGTGGAGAGGAAGGAGGTGAAGGTGGGGACCAAGGAGAAGCCAAAACCCCTGGGGGAGACGGCCAGAGCGGGGTCAGAAGAGGAGAAAGCCAAGGATGCTCGGGCCAAGCTGGACTCTTCGCTGGAGAAGCTGAAGGTGGATGCGAAGCCGAAGCTGAGCAAGGAGAAAGCGGTGCCCAAGAAGGATCCCGTTCCCCGGAGAGAGGAGAAGAAGCCGCTGAAGAAGGACGAGGGGGCTGAGGTGAAGGGGGAGGCCAAGAAGGAGCTGAAGGTGGTGGTGAAGAAGGAGGTGAAGGCTGAGACGCTGCGGAAGGACGCCAAGGAGAGCAAGGTGGAGGCCAAGGCTCCTCCTGCCAAGACCCTCGCCCGGAAGGCCCGGAAGGGCCCGGGCCCGGGGGGCCCCAAAGCCCCTGGCCAAGGCTGGCAGCATCAAGAAGCCCCCCCCAAGGAAGGAGCCAGAGAAGCCCAAGGCCAAAGCCCCCCGGGAGGCCACCAGCAGGAAGGAACCGGGGGCATCGGACGGCTCCAAGTCCTCCTCCCCGGAGGACATGCTGCCGGAGGCC